GCGACGCGCAAGGTGCGCGGTGAGCGGGCGCCGGGGAGCCTGGCTGGCGCGGTGGGCGCGGCGCGCGCGGTGAGCAGGCGGTGAGCGCGGGGCGCTAGGGCGGGCGTCGGGGCCGGGGTAGGTTTGCGCGTGAGGTGCGGACCTTGCCGCGGTCGTTGATCTGATGTTCCCATCGCCGGATCTCGCTGCCCGAGGACGTGTTGGTGGTGGTTGTTCGGTGTGGCCGGCGAGTGCTGGGGCCCCCTCCTTGCCAAGCATGTCCACGTCCTGCTCGTGGAGTAGCGGCGCCGTGCAGTGGCTGTGGTGCAGAGTAGGGTCCAGGCAGACCAGATCCAGCTCGGTTGGTCCTGACCTTGCGCGCGGTGGTGCGAGGCGGTCAGTTTGGCGTGGTGTTTGCCTAGTTTCGGCGCGCTGCGGTGCGAGCCGGCTAAGCTCCAGTTCATTTCTCGGCTCTTCCTGTGCAGTGCGGTGCGGATCCTCGCCCAGGTTCTGCGCACGGAGGCAGGGGATGGCCGGATCTGGTTTGGCTCGCCCAGTCTGCGTGCGGCGGGGCGGCCCAGACAGGTTGGCTCGTGTTTGCCGAGTTTCTGCGAGCGGCAGTGGCAAGTCCGTTCCTGGTAGTGTGTGCATGGCCTTGCTCTGTCCGGTGGCGCTGGTAGGCCTCGGATCCAGTTTGGTGGAAGATTCAGCTTCGGATGAAAAGCCGCATTGATCTGGTCAGTGCCGACGGTAGTGGCGTCTATAAATGTCGTCTTCCTCCTTGGAGGTATTGCCGTGGAGCTCGTTTGCTCTTCATACCTCATAGCTTGCGGTCTCCGGGTGAAAATCTAAGATTTGGCTTAGCCAGATCGGGTAACGGTGTTGTCCTCGACATCACTTTCTCCTTGGAGGCGTTACCTTGGAGACCCAACGATGGATTCCGTTGGTGTGCATGTCTTGTTTGGTGGTGCTTGGGTTTGTGGTGGTGTCGGCATTTCACTTTCTTTTCTTTTTGCATCAGCCCTTGCTGTGCTTTCCTCTCCGAAGGGCTCTTGTAACACTTCTTCTGATCAATGAATTTAGCAGCTCTACTGCCAACGTTCAAAAAAAAATGCTCTAGTAGTTTACATCTCCTGTCTAGGGCACTGGTCAGCTGGCGGTTACTGCTTCCAGTCGTAATTGCCCAGCGTATTGGCAACGCTGGCCAGTAGACCGTGCATGTGCTCATGCGTGGTCCTGTATCCCGTATCAAGTTTTTTTTTTTGAGACAATATCCCGTATCAAGTTGATGCGTTTGTCTCACTTCTCTCTCTCTTTTTTATATGTCCTTGGGTATTTCCCTGGTACTGCTACGCGCCATTTCTGTGCTCATTTAATCTGGGCTTCTTGAGTTTTGCCTTCCAAGCAATCTCGGCTACCTCACAACCTCCGTGAAATGCAAGATGTCCCAGAAACCTGATTTTGTCCTGCCTGTAATCCTGACGTGTTCTTTCCTGGACACTAGTGTGCCATTTGGGTTCGGTAGTCGGGCATGCATGCGATCTACCCTGGATGTCGCATGCTCATCGACTTGTATATCCCCGAAATGGCGAGCCGGTCCTCTCAAGTTGTCGATGGTGACAGCCACGTGAACTAACTCAGCCCCATGAGCCCCGTCCAAAAAAAAAAAAACCCAGCCCCATGAGGTTAGCTAAGGACACGGGCGATACGGCCGATGCGACGGGTGCTTGGATCTTGCTCTTGGCTACCACCGCGTGACCCTTTCACGGACCACAGGTACATGACAGCATTTTCTGCATGTGCCCACCTCTTTCTAGAACCTTCCGGATTCCGTGCCGCCGCTGCGTCACGACCCGTCTCGCCCTCGGAAGAATGAAATAATGCACGGTAATGCTAACTGGCGAGCATTCGTTGAAAAGGAACCCTCGATGAACGCCCTCACAGCTGTTCTATCGAGATCAAACGGCATTGGACCTGAAAATAAAACCAGATGATCAAGGACAACCGGTAATGCGTTGGATCAAGCGTGACCGTGTGAGAAGGCCAGGACCGAGGAACGCCGTGTCGGGACGTGGAGCAGGACACGACGCGCGACGGCAGCGACGGCCAGCCTCGAAACCTCTACCAGATTCTGGGAACAACAGACCAAATCCCATAGGTGAAGAAGCTTGGGGGCATAGCGTACATCGACAGTGTGGCAGAGACCATGGACTGCGTACTCTGCAAAGTGTTTGGAAAATGGGGAGGGCACATTGTAATCATCGTTGCCATTCTCTTCATCTTGTTTTCTTGAACTGTGTTTTGGAATGGACTTCCCCTATGCTAGTGCTCATCGAGGACCATTATAAGTCGATCAAGAACTGGCCCTTGCTTGCTTGTTCATGTCGTTGAGGAATACTAACAGTAATAACAAGGGTTAGCAGTGACCCTGCTTGGGGCGCCATGGCCGGCGGAGAAGAAGGGAAACCCAAGCCGCTCGAGTTGACGCCGACATGGATCGTGGCGTCCATCTGCTCCGCCATCGTCATCATCTCCCTCGTCTTCGAGCGCTTGCTCCACCGCCTAGGCAAGGTATACATGCGTTACGTACGATGAAGCTACTATGTCGTCTTCTTTCTTAACTGTTTCTGTGTTAACTGTTGCGTTTGGGCGCGCACGTTTGCAGAGGATGATGAGGAGCAGTAAGAAGCCGCTGTATGAGGTCCTCCTCAGGGTGAAGGAGGAGCTCATGGTGCTGGGATTCATATCGCTGCTGCTCGCCGTGTTCCAGGGGGTCATGGGGAGGCTGTGCGTGCGACGGAGCGTCATGGGCCACATGCTGCCCTGCAAGCCACCTGCGCCGGACGGCGTCGCCGAGACCGCGCACTTCGTTCTGGGCGGGGCCAGGCGGCTTCTGGCCGCTGGAGCCGCCTCCGATGATCACTGCCTAAAAAAGGTAAACATCGAACGTTCATATGAGCCATATCAGCCGTATGAATCATGAGCCATATTTTTTTCCGGATAAAGGGCATTTTTTTATTGATTCATAATGTAGCATGACGGATACAATCATAACGAGTACACACCCGGTCTTTGCATAACTAGAATGCACACATAACCGACACCGACACCAGCACACACATGCACAAAAGATAACACCAGCAAAGAGCAACGACATACAAGACCGCTATGCTTAGGTGGATGGAGAAAAAAAAAATTCAAAAACAATCAAACAAGCGATTGATGATATGCAACAACGACCACCAACGCCAACCAGCTCTTGACGACACAAGGACGACAATCAAGATTCTTTGGAAGCAATGCCTTTCCGAAGGGAACGACGCGTTAGTGCCGTCGTTGCCAGATCCAACCATCGAAGATCAGATCGTAGGTTTTCACCCAAAAGATCAACTCTGAGCAAACTCCAAGCAATGCCCTCGACAAGCTAACAATCTGAAGACGCCGTTATTTCCAGGTATAACCAACTAGGGTTAGACCTATGGTTTTCACCCGGTGCAACCGGAGGGATAGGAGGCCATGGGGTGGTGGGAGGGTGGTGAGTCCAGCACCGCGAAGTTGGGGTGGTAGTCGGGGCCACGCAGGGGAAGAGTACGCCATACAACACAAGTTGCTCGCATTGTCGCCATGCCACTGCATGCATCACCAGCATGCAAGATCTTCCACTGAATCCCGCAATCCCGGCCCCCATGAGCCCGATCAACACCATAGTAGGCCAGCACGAGCAAGCGCACCACATGTCAGCGGCCCGCGCCACCTGCTGGAAAGGAGATTGCGCGGACGCGGCCGAAGGCCGAACATCACCTATGCCACACCTCAGAGCAGCCACACCCACCGCCACGAACTAGCCGAAGGCGCACCCAACTGCCATCATCCCCAGAGCCTGATGGGCTTCGCCAGCCGGCTCCTCTAGCGGCGATGAGATGAGAAAAGGGAGTTGGGGAAAAGTTGTGGCGCTCGGGGGGCGACACGGACGTCAGTTTGAGTGACTTCCAAGACTGCTGGCTATGCTATTAACCTTGCTATTACGAGTACCCATATGCTTCGACTTCTCTCGTTGGCTGCCTGGTTGCTGGTTAGCGGGAACAATTTTAAATTCGGTCTAGTTTTTATTTCTAAGGTAGGAATTTGGTCTAGTTGACTAAAAAAGTCTGTGTTTTTCTTTGTAATGGTGCATGCAAGATCACAATTACAGGAGTGAACCAGCTGATTAAAAGATATCAATGGACTTGCAGTAGATCTTGCTATCTTAGGCTTATATCAGATTTGTTAATTTTAGCTTTGGACGTTGGAGTGAATCGCTGGAAAATGCTACATATACGTATTACTAGATGGTAAAAAGAAACTTCACATTTTCCTAGTGTGATGTGGTACCCGTGACTCCCTACTGGATCCGCCCATGAATGAGATTTTACATCAATGAGCTTAAAATGGCACTATCGTGGGAGTCTGGTTCACCAACATGTAACCACAATTCTAAACAAAGCAGAGTATATACGAGAATAGTTGAATGTTGATAAATGCTTAGAAATATCCACCGCAAAAGGCTTAGAAATACCGCAAAGATTTCAGAAAATTCCAAGAAATTTACAAACTACACAACACTCAACTTCTGCATTTATCCTAGGTATTTGGTATTTGATGGGTTTTCCATCTTTAACAGATTGGCCCTTATATATATATAAATATTCATTTGATATTCCGCATGTAGGGCAAAGTTCCGGTACTCTCTGTTGAAGCTATTCATCAGTTGCACATATTTATCTTCATCTTGGCGGTCACTCATTTTGTTCTCAGCGCGTCTACCATTATTCTAGGAACTGTGCAGGTACTAAACCTCAAACTATATGTGTATTAACAAGTAATCTATCATGTTCTTCCTATTGATTTTTTATCAATTATCATCTAGACGAGAAATTGGCATCACTGGGAGAGCAAGATTCATGCAAATGGTGATAATGGTATGATGCCGATAGTTTTAGAATTTGAATAATGATAACTTCACCTTTGTTTTTCTCAACATAAAGTTGTGTCCACTATTTCCTGATGATATTTAAGATTCATTATGTAGCTCCTGAAATGATCAAGCATGTTCAAGAGTTCAAGTTTATTCAAGACCATTTTAAAGGTCACAAAAAACGGTGGAGGATATTTGGTTGGATGGTATATTTGAAGTATCAAAACATTATTCATATTTCATCTGTTCTTGATTATAGTTGGATTATAAACTAATTCACCTTTTTTAGTGTTCATTCTTCAAACAATTCTATGGATCGGTCACTGAGGAAGACTACACAACAATGCGACTTGGTTTCGTCATGGTAACTAGCCATATATTACCATCAATGAACGTCACATATATGTTTCCATATCATTGGAACTAATTAACATTTTATTTGTTTCCTTCTCACAGAAACATTGTAACCCAACATTCAATTTTTACAATTACATGATCAGAGCGTTGGAGGTTGATTTCAAGAAGGTTGTTGGTATTAGGTAAGTTATCAATGCTATTATTACAAAATGAATGTCATGTTTTTTTCTAAAGCATGACTTTTGGTATTTTCATTTTTTGATTTAGACAATAACTACTTTGCATGTTGTTCTTATGTAGTTGGTACCTCTGGGCATTGCTCATGGTATTCTTGTTGTTGAATGTTCAAGGTTTGTATCACCAATGGTTGCAAGTTATGGCCCATTCACAACTTTGTTTATTGAATTTTCATTTTTTGGTTGTATTCACTACATAATATTATATTACTCATGCGATAATAACACTATTCTTTTGTCATAATTGTAGGTTTGTATGTCTACATTTGGATATCGTTAGTTCCATTCATTGTAAGTAAACGTGAGACATAATGCAAATAGAAAAATGAGCATAATGAGATACACATATTTTCAATACATAATATTGCCAAGCCTTTTTTTTGTAAAATTCATAATTCTATAACGAAGTAGGACTTCGCCAAAGTACACCAACCTTTACAGTGAACACAATTGTTGTTTATAACAAGGATCGTGCATAAAGGAATAACTATAACATCGATTGATTTTTTGGTAGATGCTACTTTTGGTTGGAAGCAAGATGGAGCACATCATTACAGAATTGGCTTACGAGGTTGCACAAAAGCATACGGCGATTCAAGGAGATTTAGTAGTGGCTCCTTCAGATGATTTCTTTTGGTTCCATCGGCCAAAGTTGGTCCTTTTGTTGATCCACATTGTCCTATTCCAAAACGCATTTGAGATTGCACTATTCTTTTGGCTCTTGGTAAGAATAATATGTTAACTAGGCACCAATCAAACTAACTTCTAGTTTTGAAGACAATAACAATATGATGAAATTGCATAGACTATAAGTTTCCGATCGAGCTTGTTCTTGAAAGTTAGTCCAATTCTTGTATATGTATATGTAGAACTAACTGTTGCATTGCCAACCATGCAGGTGACATATGGATTTAAATCATGCATCATGGGAAATCGAGCATATGCTATAGCTCGAGTTGTCATAAGGTAACATAGGAGTAACTAGTAAATCACAACATCTTGATATTTTAAGAAACTCATTATTTGTTTCCTTTCTTTCAGTGTCATTAGCCAACTCGTTTGTTGTTACATCACCCTACCGCTTTATGCCATCGTCTCTCATGTGAGTTTATTTTCTAAACTATGTGGATTGCCTTTGAACTTCTTTGAATATTTAGTGATTGCTCAACTCAGTAGGTCTATGAGTAACTAATTCTTGGTAACAAAAAATTTATTTACTAGTACAATATTCTATATACGAATTGGTACATATAGGTGATCATATAACTTATTGTTTATATGAATAGTTTGTTTTCCTAAATTTGATGCCACCATGTAGGTATTTACTAGAATAATTTAACTAACTGCCCTCAATCTCTATGTTTACACTCTAATTCAATTTTCATAATGGTAAAGATGGGGAGTTCTTTCAAAAGAGTTATGTTTGACGAAAACGTGACTGAAGGCCTTGTCAACTGGGCTGAAAAGGCTAGGAGACGCAGAGGAATCCCAAGTAGAACACCTGCAGACGTAGGCAACTCGCAAGTTGATGAGGCAAGTGATGTTGCAGTTCAAATAACAAATGCACATGCAGACTCATTGGTGAAGTAAAGGACTGCTAGGCTAATTACATATTTTGTATATGGCCATTCTTGCAATACTACAATTTCTTTTACTTGTACAATGGAAATCTACAATTACATGACACATATCCTTGGATAATTTTGGTTCTTGATGTGTTTTGCACATTTACCTCTAACTTACTATAAATTAAAAAATGACGTAATATATGGATCTACACATGTGAAAATGATAAGCTTTTAAAGA